CCCCATTGACCCCCTCCACCCTGCTCCCACCCCCTCCCCAGGCCTTCACCACACATACACCTTTTTAAGATCCCCTTTACACGCAAATCTAAAATTTTTGGTTTAGAACATAATCTATACATAACTTGGTTTGATTAAAAAATGTGATGATTTGCTCTGTTGAGAGAATATACCTAGAAAAAGGCACATTTTTTTAACCAAATGTGTCTTCAGAGGAAATGATCCTTTCCCATTTGGGCTCTCTCTTTTCTGGAGCTTCCAGGATTTTGCTGACATATAAAAGGAACTCAAAGGTCAGCTCAGTGAAACCTTTCCTGAAGCACCCTCATCTCTCTGTTTCCAAGAAGTTTGTCGCTGGAACCTCTGTGCTCTCTTATGAAAAGCAAGCCCTCTGCTCATGCCTTTTCAATAGAACTTGCTCCTTGGAGATTCTCAGCTTATATGCTGGCCTCCCTCTCTCAAAGGACCGTTGAGGTCAGAGGTGTGTCCCTTGTTTATCCCCACTGCCTCTGACCACGCTACACCAACCCATTTGCTGGCTGCTCCTCCTTACCCGCCTCATAATGTTAATATTCCCTTTTCTTTCTGACCTTGGTACTTACTTATTTACCTTGAGCAACCATACCAATGTTCCGTGTTTTAAGTGCTACCTGCGTGCACGTGATTCAAGTACATTCTTCCCTTAGAGACTTTTCTCTTGAGCTCCAAATACATAAACCCGCTGCCTAATGAACGGGGATGAACCGTGGGCCTCCCAAAGGCAGTAAGTGCAAACCCTATTACCCTTCCCCCTTTAGCTCCCTCCTCCCCACCAGTCCCCTTACAACAACTGGCAGCACCATTACCCCTGTATACAGGTCAGACTTGTCAGTCACCTGCCCCTCTCCCTTTCCTTCATCCAAGTCAGAACTGATGGTTCTCTTTCCCTATGGAAAAACACAAATTCTTTTGCATGATACATTAAGTCTGGGTTTTCAAGGGGTCAGAGAAGCGGGGAGAGCCCTGGTTCCTAGAGTTTACCGACATCCATGCAGAAAGAGTCTTGTCTGGACTGGTTTCATGCTACCACTGTGATGTCACCCAGTACGAGGAAGATGGGAAGAAGTGGCCAGTACCACGTTGTTACGTAGGATATACACTATGCTGATGAAAAAGGGGCCACATACTAAAACCTGACAAGCTCGGGGAGGCCGGCATGAGGGGCCTTACAAACTCAGAGACGGGGTGTTCTGAATATAAAAATTCCTAACTATAAGTGGGTCATGGAGCAGGAGGAG